ACAGCAGTCCCAAACCCTGGCACAAAAGAATCCTTCAGGACCTGGACTAGGGGGTGAGCTAAAATTCGAACACCTCCTTAAGTTGAAAGGAGGCACCTGGTTGACACTCAGAGACATGGGAAGAGAAGGTTCCTCTGTTAAACAAAGGCTACCTTCAAGGCAGGCTTCATAAACAGGCAACCTGTGCAGTTGCAAAGGACCCCATGTTCAGAAGGGCTCTCAGGCTTGGTTCTATGCTCGGCTGGCATCTTCTTGAAATTATTAATAATTTTTAACAGGGAAGCATTTACACATCTTCATTTTGCACTAGGATCCACAAAGTTTTAGTGAGTCCTGACTACCTTCCCTGCCAAAGGCAAAATGGGGAGCCTAATCAAGGGCCTGGAGTTCTACACGAGCAGGTGAAATGGAAGTGTGTTATAAAACAGAGAAAAATAAAATTGAGAGTTCAATTTTATCGTTTTTAAGGAAATATAGCATTGTTTGTTAAGTCAGGTACCCACAATTTTGATTTTCCAAGCCATTATGAAGTTTGTTACTCTGAAATACCACTTTCTTTTATTGCTTTGTAGACTTTATACAATCCCTTTCTGTTTCTTTAACCTGGAAGAGTAGCCCCAAATAAAAAGAGAATCACCATAGGATCCAGCAATCCCACTACTGGGCATATACCCTGAGAAAACCATAATTCAAAAACAGTCATGTACCACCATGTTCATTGTAGCTCTATTTACAATAGCCAGGACATGGAAGCAACCTAAATATCCACTGACAGATGCATGGGTAAAGAAGATGTGGCACATATATACAGTGGAATATTACTCAGCCATAAAAAGAAACGAAATTGAGTTATTTGTAGTGAGGTGGATGGACCTAGAGTCCGTCATACAGCGTGAAGTAAGTCAGAAAGAGAGAAACAAATACCTTATGCTAACACATATATATGGAGTATATACAAAACAAAACAAAAATAGTTCTTAAGACGCTACGGGCAGGACAGGAATAAAGATGCAGACGTAGAGAATGGACTTGAGGACACAGGGATGGGGAAGGGTAAGCTGGGATGAAGTAAGAGAGTGGCACTGACATATATACACTACCAAATGTAAAATAGATAGCTAGTGGGAAGCAGCCACTTAGCAAACAGGGAGATCAGCTCCGTGTTTTGTGACCACCTAGAGGGGTGGGATAAGGAGGGTGGGAGGGAGGAGATATGGGGATATATGTATATGTATAGCTGATTCACTTTGTCATAAAGCAGAAACTAACATATCATTGTAGAGCAATTATACTCCAATAAAGATGTTTTAAAAAAAAAAAAAAGAGTAGCCCCAAAGACACACAATTCAGAGAAACACATAAAAACGTACCACACAGTGGTCAAAGCCACAGTACTGAAGCACTTTCTCTGTACAGATTTTCACCCTATGTCCCAACTGGTGAGAGATCACTGTATTCTTGTGTTTATCTTCCCTTTTACAACCTCAACCCACCATTCAGTTCCTTCTCAACCACAACTTGAGTTCTCCTTGTGGTGATGCTACTCTCAGTCTTTTTTGGTAAATATTTTTTTGCATCACCAGCACCTTGATTTTCATCAGGACTGGCTACATAATTAGCAAGGCTCAGTACAAGATGAAATGTGGGCTCCCTGTCACAAAATACAAATTAGTGAGAATTTTAAGGCAGCAAGAGTAACAGCATTAAACCATGTGTAGGGCCCTTCTAAGTGTGGGGCCTGTGTGACTACACTGGTTGAAAGCCCATGAAGCCAGCCCTGCTTCTCCCTGGCCAGAATTGGTCAAGTACCCACTCCTTAACTAATCACTGGTAAGTGGGTTGACAAGTTTAGCCTTGGACTAAGAACAGCTCCTTTGGAGCTGGGCATAAGTTCATCTTCCCCTGATCTGTACTGTATCTGGTGGCAAGGATTCATGTGTAAAACCAGGCTTCTTCTGAGTAGACATGAGGAACACATAGTTACTGAGTAGCCAACAACAGTACCCACTATACCATATACTGTATCCATGACTCAGAAGGAGGCATTCTTCTTCAGAAGCTCTCTTTGATGCAAGTTTTGGTTCCCTAGGGCCTTGAAGAGTTATTCGAATCAATCCTGCTCAAATCTTCCAACTCTCAATTCCCAGGTTTCCATGCACTTCAAACCTCATCTCTGGTACCAACCCTGCCTGCAGGTACAAGTGGGGGTGAGAAGACACGGTTCCATCCTCTTGATAATTATCATATAATTAAGGAACCATGACCGAAAGACCATAAAACATACAAAAACTCAAATAATAGAAAAATTTTAAATAAAAATACCACTTAAAATCTACACGTTAGTGCGGAGACTTTACAGAAGTACTGGATTAACAAGCTCTGGGTGGAATCTTCAATATGAGTTTAGGAGGAAATAGATTTTTTAAAAAATTTATTTATTTTATCTTTGGCTGCATTGGGTCTTCGCTGCTGCACGCAGGCTTTCTTTAGTTGCGGCGAGCGGGGGCTACTCTTCGTTGTGGTGTGCGGGCTTCTCATTGCGGTGGCTTCTCTTGTTGCGAGCACGGGCTCTAGGTGCGAGGGCTTCAGTAGTTGTGGCACACAGGCTTCAATAGTTGTGGTGTGCAGGCTCTAGAGTGCAGGCTCAGTAGTTGTGGTACACGGGCTTAGTTGCTCTGTGGCATGTGGGATCTTCCCAGACCAGGGCTTGAACCCATGTCCCCTGACTTGGCAGGCAGATTCTTAACCAGTGCACCACAAGGGAAGCCCCAGAAATAGATTTTTAAATGGGGAAATAGTCAGTGTTGGGTGTTTGAAATGCATTTTGGAGCAAAAGACAGAGATTCACAATCCACAGGGGCAGAATTCTTATCCAGCCAATTTTGATAGTTCAGTGAATCCTTTTCAAGAGTCAAACAGGTTTGTTTAGCTAAAGTAGACTGTACAAGTCACTCAGAAATGTCAGTGGTGAAAGGAAAACCATCATGCAGTGGAAAGTCATTACTGGCAAGTTAGATCCAATGCAACAGACAACAGCATGGTTTCTAAAGACATATATAAACCATGAATTTTTACACCTGTGTGAAAATTGAGTCTTTTGCTTCCGTTATTTCCTTCAGAACATTCACTCTTTCTTCATCTGGCCAAAATCCTGTTCAGACTGAGACAAACTGGGACCTGGGACCCTTTGCTGCACTGCTGTAACGCTTGCACCTGGACACACCTCTCTTCAAGCAACAAAATACAAAGAAACTATATGGGACTAAAAATAACTGCCTGCATGCCCAGTTGGGGCAATTCTGGACAAAAGATACAAAGGGACCAAAAAACCCAAGAGCCACTTTTGAAGAGCCTGGAGCAAAAGCAGGGGGTCAGCAGCAAAAGCAGCGTACTGCGCACGCTCCCTGCACACACCACCACCTAAGGGGCGGGCAAAACACCTAAGCCACCCCTCTGGCCCGACCCCTGGACACAACCTTAACCTCAACCTCATATAAAGAGGAAGCTTACGCCCCCTCCTCAGCCAGCGAACAAACAAAGGAATCTGTTGTTTGTTTTTGCTCTGGGCTGCTGCAGCAGGGGCCCCAATAAAGCCTAGCCTGAATTTCTTGTCTGGCCCCTGATCAATTTCTATTGATTAAGGAGGCCAAGAGCCCTGGTCAGTAATAAGACCTTAAGACCAAGGTCAGGCCCTATCACCGCCAAGGAGCCTTCCTCAAACCTTCCGTGAACCTTCCTCACTTTGCAGTACTTCTCCTTCTGGCTGCAAAGGACTTAAGAAAATGACTGTTTCTTGTCCATGATCTCAGTGCGTGTTGTGACTTCTATTGAAATGATCTATTTTAGTGCCTCTCACTCACTGGAGTGTAAACTCCCTAATGCTAGAAACTGCCTTATTCCTCTTCTGTGCCTTGCCTTGGTAAGTGCTCAAGTTATCATGTATCAACATGTAATAAGTATTTTAAGAATGCTTATTGAAAGTGATGTGATCATAATATACATAGGAACAATAATTTTTAATAGTCTGTGTATATAATGGGAAAACAATACTCAGAAAAAAAAAGAATCGTATGTGTAAAAAGTAGATATTTTTTATGCTGCTGGTCACCTTAATGAAGTATTAGATTAGATTGCATAAGCACCAGATGAATGGATAACACAGAACCCCAGTCACAACCATATCTCCAAATTACTACTGAGCAAGCAAAGACAAGGACTCAGAGAGAGATGGAAGGTGGCTTCTCCAGCAGTGTTAAAAAATGCTTCTACAAAAGAGTAGCAAAGCTAAGGGTTTTCTGATCCTCCTTCACACTTAATTTTGCCATTTGGTTTTCCCATTCATGCTGACTTTCATGTCAGTTTGTGCTTGCTTTCAGTGTGTGTGTGTGTGTGTGTGTGTGTGTGTGTGTGTATGCGCGCACGCGCGTGCGTGCGTGAACACTCATGCATGTTATCATCTAAAAAAGAGTAATTCCTGAGAAAGGAACAGTGATGTGAAAGGAACTGGGATAGTAAAAAGGTCTCTGACTTTTCCTTTTTGTTCAGTTGGATTTTCTAGTAGGCTTTCTCGTGAACTTTTTCCTCTATTGACAAACTTAAAACCAGTAAATGACTGGTGAATTCCAACATCACTAGGAGATAACTTACCGCAGTTAAGACTGGACAATATAATCACAATTTCTATGTTAATTTCATAGCTCTGAGTAGATACTTAGTGGCAGTAATGGAAAAAAATCCAAACACTTTTGGAAAATATGAGAAAAACAAGATTCTAAATCTAGAGTCTCTGAATTTCGTTATCAGTGTGAGATAAGATTGCCACATTAACAGCAAGGCAACAACACATTTAGGTATGAATATGTAATATGTGGAAATTATAATTACTTTAAATATATTCCTTATATTTGAGAAGCTCAAATATATTTTTCATGTGCTCTAATTCTCAATATAAGCTTAATTAGTACCTTATTAGAAATATTAAAAAAAATTTAAAGACATACTTTGAATTTCAATGATCTTCTGTAAAGAAATAACAGCATTCATATTCGGAGTTTGTTGGAGAATATCTTCTGCAAGTGGTTCCAGCTGCAAGAATGGTAAATAATGATATGAGCAGAACATTATGACTTTATAATAAGTTTCACAGAAGCACACCAAATTGAAACAACCTAAAAAAAAGCCTGCTCCAAGAACTACTTAACATTTTGCTGATACCAGTTCCAAAAGTGTAGCCAGTTTTATTTTCTGTTTTGCAGCAATGTAATTGAATTCCAAGGGGATTTTCTACTGGTCACAAAACTAATCTATGAAGTCCCTGAAGCAGGTGCATGTCTGTGTATTATTCATTAAAAATCCGAGTTATTTGTGTAATTTTTGTAGGTTCCTGACAAACCAAATTCCATCATGTCTGTATATGCAGCTGGGCTCTGCAAACGAAACCTCAGGGAAGTTGAAGTAGACAGAAGGTGGGCAGTCTATTATCCATACTTTTGTGGTGTTTTTACACCTAACTACCTTACACTTTTGGACACTTCACAGCAGAATGCCACGAGACATAGCTGCTCTTATTCAACTGCTATTGAATAAGTAGTAGAGAAAATGCTCAAATAAAACCAAAAGTAAAATAACTGTACATTTTCATTTAACTTCCACTGTATTCACATCTATGCAGATAGCCATGTGGAAGCACAGGACAAATTCCTGTCTTGCAAATCTATCCTGATCTTCTGGAATTACACTGATTTTTCATGGGGAAGCTCAGCAAACATTGTTTTGCAAGAAATGAAGAAGAGCTTTAAATAATTTATGGAGTGTTCTGGCAGAACTAAATCTGATGATGCATCCCTGGGAATACGTTGGTGATGTGGCTTCGTGTGGAGCAGGACAAACTGCATAGCAGAGCACTTGCAAACAAAATAGCTGTCCAGCTATTGTGACCCAGAAAGCGAGGAAAGTAATAGTAAAAGGGGATTAACAACAACAAAAAAGTTTTCTTATAAAATTTAAAGTTAGTAGTCTCAAATAGGCCAAACTATTATATGGCAAGAACGGGAAACAATGTCACTAGACACTGTGCTAAAACATGAACCCATCTATGTCTCTTCATCTGTAGAAAAAAACTAAAAAACTCAGGGATTCCAAGTTTCCACAGCATGTGTGAGTGAATCTTCCCCCCAGGGTCTCTCTGAATTGATTATTCTATACTTTAATCATGGAATCTAAAACAATAGCACCTTTCTTCCAGATGCCATAGGATAACAGACTAGCTCAGGGATATTTATACATGGGTAAATTCACTAAATATAACTTTCCAGAGTGTTTTTCTTAGCTGCCAAAGAAAAACATTTAAAACATCAAAAGGTTTACTTGCAGTACAGTTTGGCAAGAGGAAAAAAAAAAAAACCCACAGTGTCAGTGAAAGGTTCTGCAATCTTCAACTCTTAAAATTTGTTAAAAATCATTTTTTTAAAAAATCTGGTATTTCAGATAGTATCTTCAAAAATATGTTATGCTAGTAGCACCCTCTTAACTCAGAGGAATTGCTGAATCATAAACGGAAGGTTACTTGGAAAACTCTTACTCAAGAATTAGGGCTGAGCTACCCTGCTCATAAATAATCTTTCCTTTCACTTCTCTCTCAGGGCTTAGAGAAAAATTTTAATAGAAATTAGGTAGACTTTATTAACAAGATGTTCTGAAATATCACTCTATGTTCGAATACTGAAGAATAAAAGCACAACGTAGTATGAGCATATTTAGTTCTTAAACAAGCTTTCCTGAGACTTCAGGGTAAAATGCTGACAAATGGAAAGGTGCTAGCTACTGGAAAGAAAGCTACAGGCACATCATTAATGTAAAAACCTCACTTCTGGAACACTCTCACATTAGGTCCATGGGCTATTTTTAGGACCTGGGTTATGTAGAAAGTAAACTTGATGCAGAGTGTTGAGAGTAAAAATACAAACAACCCTAAACCTCCAATTTGGAATTGTCAGTTAGATACGATAAAGTTGTGTCTACTTATGAAAGCAACCTAGAGAATTAAGGCAATTACATTGATAATTTAAGCCTCCCAAACCATTTCCCTGCATATTTTAGGTGAATGTCATTTAGAGGATTTAACCTTCAGTAAATTGCCCCAATTTGTTTCATTTTGAGTGTATACACACAGACAGAGCTGAATTCAGAAAGTTCTCAATGTAGGTTCTTTATTTTTTCTCTAGTAGCTCTGCTGAGAAGGTAATGGGTAATACTCTCAGTTGGCAAGAAGGCAAGCAGCATTTAGTCTGTTTTCATAATATTAAAACCTTGTATAGAGGGACCACAGAATTGAGTTGTCTTTTCTAAACGAGTTTGTTGATTTAATAATTCACAGTTATAAGCACTAAAAACATCTGACTGAAGCATCTGTTTAATAAATATTTATGAGTATTGGTCATTATTAATAAAATCTAATAACTAACTGTAATAAAGTAATATTAAACAAATAGTCATATTTTATAACTTTGGAGCAAAAAATAAGAATATACAGTAAAGCTGTGTTATATATCTAGTTTGGCCGATAAGATGTAGCAAAAACACTGGCAATAAGGCTAATCAATGTTAGTAAGAGTTATTAAAAGATAAATAAGGAAATAATTTATGCAAACCAGAGAACTTCTGCATGCAAAAGTTATACTAAGATCAAACAGATGCAGATGTAGGAAATATCACACACCCATCACACCGTCTTTTTGCACAATTCCATCAAGTAATAATAGAGTTATAAGATACACTAGATGATTTTAACACAACTTCTTGACATTTGAAGCTCTCATCTAGGTTTCCTATATCTAAAGCTTAAATGCAATCATTACTTACTGCAATTCTTTATATAAATTTTCAGACTCAGTATAGGGGTATTTACTTTTCTACATCTTTTACAGAAAGTTGCAATACCCTATTGATACAATTCAGATGTATCAATACATCTGAATGTACAATGTATATGCATATACCATGTAATTTCTAAGTACTACAGCTATTTTAAAACACCATAAAAGTTGGGGCCATTATCATGTTGTGAATAAATAATTTTCAGATTCTTTAGAATCAGATCATTTAAATCATCAAAAATCACTTTAGTTGGCTAAGATGCACTTATGGAAAAAGGCAAGGGTATCCTTGGAGAAGCTCGAGAAGAAGTTTTAAAACTCACTTTGTACTTATGAGACATGAAAATCATCTCTATTATTTTCATGATTGAGAAAAGAACAGAAAAAAAAAAGCTAAACGTATTTTGCAAAATATAACAGATACAAGAGGACAGATGCACACATCAACCAAGCAAAGGATCTACTAAGTACTCTTAGCTTTTATATTATGTTTCCCAAATGTGCCAAGTATACTTGGCATACTCTTATACCTTTATTTATTCTGTTCTCTCTGAATTGTATTTTCCCTATCCTTCTTTGAATTGGTGAAACCTTACTAAATCATTCAAGGACTAACACAAACACTGCCTGCTCTGAAATCTTTTCTAAAATCCTCTGATAGAGCAAACTGCTTCCACTCTTTGTCTCCTTTCCACACAAATTCTCTTGTTTATTACTCTGCACATTATATTGTAGTCAGCCATGTGTGTCATTCTCTATTTTGTTGTGAGCAATTTAAAGGCAAAGATAGAGCCTGGTATATAATAGGCATTTAAAAAAAATGTTGAATGAATGGAGGAATGATTAATTGAAAGAAAACATGGGGAGATAGGCTTTATTTGGCTCGCCATAGCTAACAGACCTACATGGAATATGTTCTTCCACTTGGCTGTCTGCCATAATCAGGGCATGTTTTTAGACTAAAAGAATTGGGAAAACAACAGAGATAATTCATTTTTAAATCAAAATAATTGATTTTTAATTGATTTTTAAATTAACCATCCATTTTGTTAAACTAATTTATTAATTCCAATGATGTATAAACAAATAATTTTGTATAGACTTTATATAATCATATCTTCTGTGAATAAAGAGAGATTTATTTATTCCACTCCAATCTTTATATTTTTAAATTTCTTTTTCTTACCCTATTGCACTGTCTAGGACCACCAGTGTAATGTTAAAATGAAGCACTAAGAGTGAATATCTGTCATGTTTTTTTATTTCAAAGAAAAATTCTCATGTTTCGCTTTTAAATCTGATGCATACTATAGGATGTTTGTAGATATCCTTTATCAAGCTAATAAGTTATTCCCAGTTTATCAAAAGTAGTTCATAATTGAGTGTCTAATTTATCAACAAATTTTTAAACATCTATTGAAATGGTTATATTTCTTCTTCATTCTCTTAATGTGGTGAATTATAACAACTTATTTTGGAATGTTAATATCCTACATTCTTGGCCTAAACACAATTATATTATGGGTTTTTAAGATAATGATGAACTGCTAATATTTTGTTTAGGGTTTTAACTGCTATGCTTATAAGCAGGATTTTCCTGTAATATTCTTTTTTTATAATGTTCTTTTGAGCTTGGGTGTCAATAGTATACTAGCCTCAAAAATCATTTATGAAGTGTTCTCTTCCCATCTTCCCCTTTACTCTAAAACAGTATAAATTATTAGCAGAATTCACTGCTGAAGCTATATGGGCCTGGTGTTTTCTGTTGGTATATCTGGTATTGAAGATTCAATTTTGTTAATTATGGTAGCATTCAAATTTTCTGTCTTTTTGATTCAGTTTATTTTTACAAGAATTTTTCCATTTCAAATAAAATTTCAATTTTCTTTTACATGAAGTTTTTTTAAAATATTCTCTTGTAATCATTTTTTTTTTTTTTTTTCAGTATGCGGGCCTCTCACTGCTGTGGCCTCTCCCGTTGCGGAGCACAGGCTCCGGACGCGCAGGCCCAGTGGCCATGGCTCACGGTCCCAGTCGCTCCACGGCATGTGGGATCCTCCCGGACGGGGGCACGAACCTGCGTCCCCTGCATCGGCAGGCGGACTCTCAACCACTGCGCCACCAGGGAAGCCCTCTTGTAATCATTTTAATACACTAAAATCTGTGGTAAAGTCTTTTTTTCATTCAGAGTGCTGGTAATGTAGGACTTTT